TTTTTAAATAGATTAGAGACAAATGCAATACACAGAATAATAAAATTAATTTAACAAATATGAGAAATTATGCTAGGAGAAGTGTGTGAATTGTTTAGGACGAATCCTGAATTACTATCAACGAGACATGCCTCAAAACCTTAATTTTTATTGTACCTCCGTAGTATTTTTCTTAAATTCCTTAACTAGAAAACCTTTGAGATTCTTCCTTGACCTTAATTCCTTAGCAATAAAGGAAGGACATCAAGCAATAGTTCTGAAAAAGGTTTCTTTCAATCATTACAGGATATCCCTATTCCTAGGAAATATCTACCGTAATGTATTATGCAAAATGGTCGATTGGTTTTTCAGGCAAAATCCCTAATCGTAAATTGTTCCCAATTTGTACGATCGCAAAAGTTTTAAACAATTTTCATAACAACAGATTAAGGTAAGAAAACAAAATCTCATTGAACAATTCAAACGATTTTTATTACATAACAATTCAGGGACACCCCCTAGCATTGGGGGGTTTAGCCATGCATAATATTCAACGAAAACAACATACAAAATAGAGACATTACAAGACTTGGTGACAAAAGTTGATCTTCAATTTCTTCCGATCATGAAAATCTCCTCTTCTTCCCAATTCTCCAGAGCTCTCCTATTTCTGTTGTAATTCTTTCGTACGATCAAAATTCACTTTTTTCTTCCAAAAAATCGGTCTTAGTAGTATCAGATCATTCCTTTTGATACATAATGTCTAAACTACCTTAATGAACCAACATTAGGCAAGACTTCAAAATATCAGAAATATGCTCGCTCTTCCCAACACGGGCCGTGTTAGTTGACACAGGCACCCGTGTTGGCCCACGGGTCATGAATTTCAAAATTGGAATATACAGGCATGCTGACACGGGCTCCTATGTCAGCCTAATGGTTGCTCCCTTTAGCTGCTCTCCTTTTCCCATCCTGACACGGGCCGTGTCAGGTGTCACCGGCACCCGTGTCAGGCCTCTGACCTTGAGGAAAATCTTCCAGAACTCTGTCGACTTTGCACTTATTCCTCTGATCATTCACGTGAACCTGAAATCACCAAAACTACCAGACCAAGACTTCAAAAGTATTTTATTTAACATGAATTTAAACTAAAACAACATAAGCGGGCAGAATACGAAACTTAATTATTTAAAGGAAAAAGGAAAAGAAACAACCCAAAGTGTTATCGATTAAACTGAAATCTTGCCGAATAACTGACAAAAACTAAGTAGAATAGGTGACCGATCAGGTATAGAATTCCTACTTCTAATTGCTTTTGTACCTCTTTCTTAACTACATCACTCAGGATGAGGTTATCTCTTCTCTGGTGTTCTCTAGAGGTTTTGCAGTATTCTTCTATCATAATGTGATGCATGCATACAAAGGGACTTATCCCTTTAAGATATGAAATGTTATAGCCTAGAGCTTTGGGGTATTTCCTAGAGACATGTAATAGCTTCTCAATTTCTATCTGTTATAAGTCTGCATTGACTATTACAGGGCGTTCAAGCTTTGTATCTAGGAATTTATACCTTATATTTTTTTTGTAGTGTTTTAAGTTTTGCAGAAGGTTTCTTTGGGCAAGGCATAGGATTTGAAATTAGTGCTAAACATTCCCTTAGACTATCATCTACGTATGGTTCACACCAATTATCATCTTCTATTATTGGAGGGTATGGAATCTTTAGTACTTCAGTATACTTAGATTGTTCCATCTTCATTTTTCTTATTCGTCGTTGATATCTAGGGAACAATAAGAATCATCAATAGTTGGTGCCTTTAGGAATTGCGTAAGGATAAATTCGACTTTTTCTTCACCAACATCGAAGGTTAGCTTTCCTTTCTTCACGTCTACGATGGTGCCAACAGTGGCCAAAAAGGGTCTTCCTAATATGATGGGAATGTTGGAATCCTCCTTTATGTACATTATCATAAAGTCTGTAGGGATATAGAATTGACCTATTCGAACAGGAACGTTCTCTAGCATACCTACAAGAAATTTGACAGAATGGTCAGCTAGTTGGAGAGACATTCTCGTTGGTCTTACTTCTACTAATTTGAGTTTTTTACATATATAAAGGGGAATTAAACTAACACTAGCTCCTAATTCGCATAGTACTTTGCCTATGACACATTTTCCAATCACACATGGTATGGAAAAAATACCTGGATCTTTTAATTTTGGAGGCATATTATTTTGAATTATAGCACTACACTCTACAGTGAGTGTAACCGTCTCATTATCCTCGAGCTTTTTCTTATTAGATAGGACCTCTTTAAGGAATTTAGCATATGAGGGCATTTACATAATAGCTTATGTGAAAGGTATAGTAATACTAAGTTGTTTAAGAGGCTCTACAGATTTCTTGAATTGCCATTCATTTTTATACTTAACAAGTCTTTTAGGATAAGGGATCGGTGGTTTGTATGGTGGTGGAGGCACATATGGTTTTTCTTTTTCTACAACCTCTTCGTTTTTGTCATCTTCCTTAGTGTCATTTGCTTTATCTGATTGGTCATCCTTCGTTAACTTCTCAGTTTCTTTTCCAGAGTTCTGATACATGGATGGGTTTTGGATCCTAGGATCTACAGGTCTATCTAGTTTTGTCCCACTTCGCAATGTAATAACATTAGCATGACCTTTAGGATTAGGTTGTGGTTGGCCAGGAAATACTCTGGCTGGGGTTGCCGTTGATACTTGTTGTTGGGCTACTTAAGAAATTTGGGTTTCCAACATTTTGGTATGGGTATCCATTACATCAAGTTTGCTTGCCATTTGCTTCATTAGCTCACTCGTGTTTGCATTTTAGTTGGCGAACTCTTTGTTTTGTTGACTTTGGGTTGCGATGAAGTTCTCTAACAATAGCTAAACATTTGACTTCCTAGGTGCTTGAGGAGCAGCGGGGCTCCTTTCTGATAGCCTGGAGGAACAACTGGTGTTGGGTTTGGAGTGAACAAAGCATTGTTGCTCTTGTAGAAAAAATTAGGATGGTTCCTCAACCCAGGGTTGTAAGTGTTTGAGTACGGGTTTCCTTGGGCGTAATTTACTTGGTCATGAGAAATACCAGCCAATAAATGACATTCAACGTTACTGTACCCAGGGGTTCTACACAACTCACAGTTGGGTGTCACGACAACCATGGTGGCTGCTGCAGTTACAGTCAAACTCTCTATCTTTTGAGTAAGCACATCCACTTTCGCACTGACACGGTCTAGGCTATTAACTTCATACATTCCGCTCTTCATAGCAGGTTTCTCTGTAGGTGTCTTCATAAGGTTTATCCATTAGAGCGCCGCCGGCTACATCGTTCAAGTTCAGCTTGGTGTTGTATAGAAGACCATTGTAGAAGGTATGAATTATTAACCATTGTTCAAGGCCATGATGCAGACAGAGTCTCAACATGTCCTTGTATTTTTCCCAAGCATTGAAAAGAGATGCATTTTCTTTTTGCCTAAATCCGTTGATTTGGGCTCTTAGCACAATAGTTTTGCTAGGTGGAAAGTATCGAGCTAATAAGACTTTCTTCAACTTGTCCCACGTAGTGATAGAGTTGGATGGTAGAGACTAGAGCCAAGCTCTAGCTCTATCTCTTAAAGAGAAAGGAAAAAGACGTAGTCTTATGGCTTCATTACTAACACCGTTCACTTTTATAGTGTCAGCGTATTGAACAAACATTGATAAATGAAGGTTCGGGTCGTTTGTAGGACTCTTAGAGAACTGGTTCCATTGAACAGATTATAACAATGAAGGTTTTAGCTCGAAATAGTTTCATTCGATGGTAAGGGCACCAATGCTATTGTGAGGCTCATCTTGCGATGGAACAACATAGTCCTTGAGAGGACGGTTCGGTGGATTTTCAGCCATGTGAATTCTTAGTTCTGGAAAAGGAATTTCAGATTCAGGAAGATTGTACTTAATCTGGAATTCGTTGATTCAGCGTCTTAAATTAATAAAACGCTCGATATCGTCAATCGATTGCTCTAACTGTTCTCCTTGAGAGTGAGTGTTTGGCATACAATCGACGAATTAAAAAGGAAAATTGTTGCCTTAGTCTATACTGCACAACAACGAAATCACAATATTGAATAAATTAGTCCCTATCAACGGGGCAAAAACTTGATCGTGACCTTACGAGTCTATCACATGATCTAACTGTAAGTATACAGTCTATCACGTAGTTTTAAAAGATATCAAACCTACAAGATCTAATAATCAATCTACTGTTATCGATTGATGCTATGTAAAGCTAAGACTAATGATTAAAAGGATTCAGACAGAAATAAAAACATAATTTGCTAAAGGTTAGGAAATAATAATAAAGAGGAGTGAAAATATATATAAAGAAGTGTTACATTAACTACAAGAGTAAGATTAAAAACTTATCCTAAATCTTATGCTTCTATTTTTGATTAATTTAACCGTTTTAATTAATTATTTAGATTTAAAAATAAATAAAATATTTTTAAAAATAAGTATACAAATAATTATTTTAAACTTGTTTATAAGTCATAAATAAAAACTTAGTTCCAATTTTTTTTAAAAATTTTAATCTTTAATCATTATCTATCAACTTAATGATTTTGTTTAAATATTGGTTTAAAATGTCAAATATATATATATAAAAATTAAATTTGAAAAAAAGTAAATTTTAAATTTGTAAAACAAATTGAATTTAATGAAATGACCATAACGAATTGATTCAAATTGTTGGTGAATTTAAAATGAATTGAACTTAAATTTAAAAAATAATTCCATTCAAACTCGAGTTGATTCAATTTTATTGATTTGATTAACGTGGCTGGCTTATAGACTACTAAAGGTTATAGTGGCTTACTTTTCTTACTCCACGTGTCACTTTTCTAGTGGTTAACTAACTCCATAGTTGAGATATCCTTAATTCGGATAGAACCATAATTGTGTTCCAACCACACTTTACACACAAACATTGTCTCTTCCAACAGTTTCAAAAACCACACTTGTTATGGCCAATTCATCATGTTCATTAGATTGGTCTCTACCTTGCACTAAATGGTACTACACAAGAGCAACATTCAACTTTCATGCATTCATCATCCCCATCTGTCATTTCCCTTCTTTCAACTCAATTTCCACCTCAAATCCAAAACTCTTCCATGCAAATTTCTCAGCTTCTTCTCACACTCCCATTTTAGAAGAACCTTCTTCCAACACCCCCTTGATCCTTCTAGATGTTAACTTTTCTGACCCTAACAATTATTCCAAGCCAGAAATTGGTCAGAATTTGAATGATTTTCTATGTGGGTTGTTTCAGGATCCAAACAAATATGAACTTGCTTTTGATTACTATCAAAGACTCAAAGAGAGACCAGAGTTTAGACCAAAGAAATCAACTTTGAACCATGTGATAAGGTACTTGTTGAGATTCAAGAAGTGGGAGTTTTTTTCATCTGTTTCTGAAGATTTTAAGGTTTATCATGTTTTCCCTGATGTTGCTACTTGCTCTAGGTTGATTAGTTTTTGCATTAAGAATAGAAAGTTCAAGATTGCTGAGAGTTTTGTTGATGCTTTTAGCTCTAGTGGTGAAATTGGTGTTTTGGCTTTTGGTTCTGCTTTTGAAAGTTATAATAAGCTTCATATGTTTAGGAGAACTATTTTGGTGTTTGAGAAAATGATATGCAATGGTGTTGTTATGGATTCAAGATGCTATTTACATGTTATGGAAGCTTATTCGAGAATCGGTAACTGCAATAGAGTTGTCGAATTGTTTAATGAGTTCGAGAGTAAGAAATTAAGCGACTCGAATAGATATTTAGGTCAAATATATGGTGTTCTATGTGAGTCACTAGGGAAATCTAGAAGGGCTTTTGAAGCATTAGAGTATTTTAGAGATATGACTAAGAAAGGTATTTCGGAATACTCGATTTACTCTACATTGATATGTTCTTTCGCGAGCTTGCGCGAGGTTGAGGTTGCTGAGAAACTTGTAACGGAAGCTAAAAGCAAAACGACGATAAGAGATCCTGATGTGTATTTAAAGCTTGTGTTAATGTATGTTGAAGAAAGTTTGTTGGACAAGACATTAGAAGTAGTTGAGGCGATGAAGAACGCCAATGTCAAGGTTTCTGATTGCGTTTTATGTGCTATTATCAATGGTTTTAGCAAGAGAAGAGGGTTTTTATCTTCGGTTAATGTTTATGAGAAACTCATTTCGAAAGGCTACGAGCCTGGTCAAGTCACGTACGCGTCGATAATAAACGCCTATTGTCGTCTTGGCCAATACATCAAAGCGGAGAATGTTTTCGCCGAGATGATACAAAAGGGGTTCGATAAATGTGTCGTGGCATACTCAAGCATGATTGTGATGTATGGAAAAACGGGCAGGTTGAGAAACGCAATGAAGTTGGTTGCCAAGATGAAAGAAAAAGGGTGTAAACCAAATGTATGGATTTACAATTCGTTAATCGACATGCACGGAAAAGAGAAGAATTTGAGGCAGATTGAGAAACTTTGGAATGAAATGAAGAGAAGAAAAGTTGCACCTGATAAGATTACTTACACTAGCATCATTGGTGCATATTTTAAAGCAAAAGAGTTCGATAAATGTATTAAAATTTATAATGAGTATAGACTGAATAAGGGTGTGATTGATAAAGCTATGGCAGGTACAATGATTGGTGTGTACTCAAATGTAGGTATGGTTGATGAATTGGCGAAGCTTTTACAAGATATGAAAATGGAAGGAACTGGTTTGGATCAGAGGCTATATCAGTCTGCATGGAATGCTTTTACAGATGCTGGAATGGAATTGCAGACAAAATGGATGAAAGAGAGTTTTCATGTAACATAGTGTAGTTTTTCAATGTGGCAAAATCTGATGCTGAGATATTTTGAATCCTTGAAACTGTACGCGTGTATCAATCTAGTCCTTCACGTTATCGATAACGTGGAAAACTAGGTAGATACGATCATATGATTTCAAGGACCAACTCGAGTATATACTCTATGTGAGTGATTTAATGCTTGTTTATGTAACCAAATGGAAGGAAGAAAAAAAGGAGATATATCAGCAATACATGATGTATAGATTTTGGGGCTAAAAAGCTGTAGTTTGTACAATTTAGCACAATGTCTTTGTGATCTTGTTCTGTTCTTCAAAATTGTAATTAAGCCAGATATTTTATGTGTTAAAATGCAAATTCGAATTCAGAGATTCAATTTTCTTCATTTTTTTTCTTCCTTTTTTCAATTTCAAATGAACCAACATAAATGCAACATATATATTATTACAACATAACAAATCCTCACAAAATAAAAACCTAAACACTACAAACTAATTAGATCTGGTAGATCATAATGTTGAACAGGTTTATAAGGAACAATGCTAAAAGTTTCATCCACAAAAGGATTATTAGGGTCAACAATGCTTAATGTGCCATCAGAATCATGTTCTTTTTCAACTTCAACAATAACATCATCAAGAAAAACTTCCCAATGATCCGTAACCACTGTCATTAAACCATTAATCTCCACTTTCTTAGAATTATCATCTCTAACCACAATAGCTTTCTCTTCACCATCATTCATTATTTTCTTTAACTCTTCAATTTCCTCTTCGTCAATTTCCACAATTTTTGGACACACACAATTGTTAAGAACACCAATCTCCTTACAAAACTCAAAATGCATAGCTAGTTTTTCACCTTGTGATTTAACTTTTCTTGCAATATCAAAACAGATACTTGCTTCTTCTTTTCCACCAATATCACAAACCCTTAACAACACACGATTTATCTCTTTGCTAAATTTACCATAAACCTCCACAATCTCATCTATCACACAATCCATTGCTTCAAGAATTAGAGCAACATTCATGTTCACATCACTCCTAGGTTTAACTTGCATCAACATGTCAATTGTTTTTTGTAACTCCTCCAAATTTTTTAACTCTTCGACCAATGTTAATTCTTCGCATTCCTTCCCTTTTTTGTTTTGTAATTTCTTCGCCTTGATTTTTGAGTTCATTGACCGATAATCCAAATACGCAAAATATGAACGAATGAAAGTGTTGAAAATCCAACCTTTTTCATAACTTAAATGTCCATCGCTAAATTGTGATAAATCAAATGGTAACCTTCCCATTTTTTGAACCATTGGTAAATCAAAACAAAAAATACCATGAATTAACATTAAACCCTTAAGTGCTACAACCCAATTACTTGTCCTTTGCATTCTCGTTGAAAGTACACATAAAATTGGTTTAATATATAAAGGTGATGTTCTTAGCCATTGAAAAACTTTTTGGACATTCTTATAATCCATACGATGTTCATCATGGCTTGTTGCTTTTATAACAACGGTTTCAAGATCAGGGTTTCTACATGCTCCATATGGTGAAAGTTTTGCTGCCCAAATGCTGCATCTATCCTTTAAAACTCCGGTAGCTCTTTTCCATACCCTCATTTTCCTGAGAGTATTGAAATAACACCGGTATGAAAAAGAGTTCTCTATTGAAATGTGTGTGAATTATGTTGATTTAGAATTATGTTAAATCTACTTAAAAGAAAAAACCAAAATCATATATTGTTTTATCGGTTGCCCAATCATAATGAGTTGTAATAATAATACAGGCGAGTCAACGGAAAAAATAGTTATAGCCATCTATTTTAGTATTAATGTTATGAATTTTGATATTTAAAAAATTGTTAATGCTGTTATGATGTATGAAATTTCTAAAAACATGTTAAATTAGTTACAATGTTATTTGAAATTGTGATTATATCATAGCTATAAGTAGTAATGACACATGTTATTTAAATGTTATTTGAAATTGTGATTATATCATAGCTATAAGTAGTAATGACACATGTTATTTGCTATATTTTTAAATTTTCTACTTCACATCTTCTAGATTCTCATCCTCCTCTTCCCTTTCTTATGCAACCTCCTTTCCTCCTCCTACACCCCCTACCTTCTCCCATCATCCAAGAATTAGTTGAAGATTGCTCTTCACTTTTCTCCAAGCCATGCAAACAAGCAAAGTACCACTGTCCTAGGACTTAGAAAATTTCTCTAGAATTAGAGTTGGATTTGATTTGATTAGCTGTTAGAACGCGTGCAAGGGGATAGCAAATTCAAGAAGTGTATTAAATCCATACAAATTATAGTAAAACGATAGAGTTATCAAGTATCGAACTCGAAGACTGCAATACAAACAATAGAATTGTAAGTTTTTAATTAATTGAACAAAATGTTCTATTTAGTTTCAGATAAAGAATGTTTCCTTTAGTTGTTTGTATTAATAATATAGAAAATTAATTAAATTAATTAAAGTATGTGACCAAAGTTGAACCGCTATAGATTTCAGATATGTAGCTGACATGAGTTATTGTTAGTACTCTAAATTAAGTATACTAATGAATTTAGTATGTTTGAGACGTCAATTTGCAACGATTAACAGAGATATTATAGAAATTATTTGATCGAAATTTTAAAAATGGAGACTTTTTTTTTTGTAAAGACGAGAATGGATAATACTTTGAGATGAGAATCAGAGAAGTACCATCCGCTCTACATATTCTTAAATCCTGATCATATTAATTAACTTTTATGTATAATATATTATATAATAGATAATAATATAATTTTGCATGTTATTTTATAAAAAATTAATTAAAGAATCATAAGAGGAATTGAAGAGTCATAAGTGAATTTTTTTTATATTTTATTGTATAGTGTATTGTTTTACCATTCAAATGTGTAATTTTAGAAAAGTCCATCCAATACATACAATATATACACTTTCTCCTCTTCTTCTTTTTTTAATTTTCTTTTTCGTCATCGTCAAAATAACCACTATCATTTGTTCATTGTGCTAATGATAATTATTCTTCAAATTCAATATAATTCAATTAGCAACCTGATTTTTATTCAATTAATAAATTAATGATTATGTTTTCGTAACTGCGTATTTGTTTGTTATTAATACAAGATGTGTTTTTATTTTAAAAAAGAAAGATGCAAATATATGCTCTTAAAAAAAATGAAAAATAAAAATTAAATACTAGTATCATAGTTTTAGTATATATATATATATATATATATATATATATATATATATATATATATATATATATATATATATATATATATATATATATATATATATATATATATATATATATATATATATATATATATATATATATATATATATATATATATATATATATATATATATATATATATATATATATATATATATATATATATATATATATATATATATATATATATATATATATATATATATATATATATATATATATATATATATATATATATATATATATATATATATATATATATATATATATATATATATATATATATATATATATATATATATATATATATATATATATATATATATATATATATATATATATATATATATATATATATATATATATATATATATATATATATATATATATATATATATATATATATATATATATATATATATATATATATATATATATATATATATATATATATATATATATATATATATATATATATATATATATATATATATATATATAATTCATTTTCGTGAATCTACGATTCTCTGTGAGGATCGGTGGGAATGAAAAAAAATATTACCCCGCTACACATATCGGAGATGGCGGTGAACAAAATATTAAAGGGAGAGGCGGGGAGTAAGAAACATCTTCTGCACATTTTTGGCCCCATTGACATTTCTACATGTGCTTATCGAAATAAATTATGTTTCTCTAATAATTTTGTGAATAAACATTTAGTTTTATGATGATCACTAAGGTCTCTAGTAATTTATAAATAAAAGTAAACAGTTTGATTAACACAAATGTAACCGGTTTCAAGGATTCACCCCTAGGCCTATAGGATGAAGGACAAGAATATTTAAATCAAACATTCAAAGTTGAAAGTTCATTCTAAACTATAAATCATAAATCAACTTAAAGTGATCAATCAATAAAAGCATTACACACAAATATTAGATAAACCAGTGTTAGAGTAGTGTTAGCAATATTGTATGCGAGTTATAAACCCTGTGTGTGCATTGTAATATGTTAGTTAAGAGTTTGTTAAAGATGTTTATAACAAACTCTATCAGTACATAGTGTATATAAGCTAATAGCATTGTATTTGTAAAAGTTGAGTTGAATGAGAAATAATGCACACTGATGCAGATGAAAAGATTACTCACTCTACATCTTTCCAATTCTATTATGATATTAGAAGTGGTTTAGATCTGAACCACGGTTCCGCTTCAACCCAATCTCATCTTCATATTCTCCTTCTTCTTCCTCAGAAGGAAAAGCTTCTCTCTGCACATCAATGGCGGACTCGTAAAATCAAAACTCAGTCGCAGAAAATCAAGAGCAGTTGCGAAACACCTCATCAAGTTTCTTGACGCCGAATTCCAACAACACATAAGGTCCAAAGCCTTCCATTCAGCTCAAAGACAACAACTATCTCCTCTGGAATTAGCAAGTCAAAGACGTCATTCTCACTTAGAAGATGCATCTATTTGTCATCAATCCTCAAATTTCGATGAAGTTCAAGACTGATCAAGATCGGTTACTCAACAATATCTCTGAAGAGTACGAATCTTGGATCGTTCAAGATCAAGCTTTGTTTATCTGACTCTTATCCACCATATCTGAGTCAGTTCTTCCTCGTGTACTTTCGTGCAAACATTCCTATGAAGTGTGGGATAAAATACACAAGTTCTTAAATGCTCAAATGCGAGCTAGGTTCTCCAAATGAGAGTGGAATTGAAATCCACCAAGAAAGGGAATC